ACCTCTTCCACTGCCCCTTCCTTACATCTGGTTGGAGAAAGAGGTGGGCGCCCCCTGCTGGTTGTAGCCGCCCTGGCCGTAATCTCCACCCTGGTTGTAGCCCTGCTGGCTGTAATCAGGCTGATACCCTCCCTGGGAGCCCGAGTAAGGGTCCTGCTGCCCATAACCCTGTTGACCATAAGAGTCAGGGGCCGGCTGCTTCTCCTGGGCAGGTGGTTGGCGCATGAAAGGAGCAACAATACCCGTCTCTTTAAACACGAACCACATGTTGCCTGCCCACAAGATCAGATTCAAGAAGCCAAATACCTGGAAGCACAATATATATATATATGATCAGCCATAACATTAAAACCACTGATCGGTGCCGTGAATAACATTTATTGTCTCATCATAATGGCACCTGCCGAGGGGTTGGCAGCAAGTGAACAGTCAGTTCTCAAATCGCTGTGTTGGAAACAGGAAAAAATGGGCAGGCGTAAGGATCTGAGCGACATTGACAAGGGCCAAATTGTGATGGCTATACGACTGGGCCAGAGCATCTCCAAAATGGATCTTGTGGGGTGTTCCTGGTATGCAGTCGTTAGAACTTACCAAAACTGGTCCAAAAAAGGACAACCGGTGAACCAGGGGCAGGGTCTTGGGCGCCCAAGGCCCACTGATGCACGTGGGGAGCTAAGGCTAGCCCGTCTGGTCCTATCCCACAGAAGAGCTACTATAACACAAGACGGATGCGTGTGTATCACTTACCTGGGGAAGAGATGGCACCAGGATGCCCTATGGGAAGAAGGCGAGCTGGCAGAGGCAGTGTGATGCTCTGGTTCTGTTCTGTTAGGAAACCTTGGGTCCTGACATTCATGTGGATGTTACTTTCACATGTACCACCTACCTAAACATTGTTGCAGACCAAATACACCCTTTCATGGCAACAATATACCCCAATGGCAGTGGCCACTTTCAGCAGGATAATGCGCACTGCCACACTGCAAAAATTGTTCAGGAATGGTTTGAGGAACATGACAAAGAGTTCAGAGTGTTGACTTGGCCTCCAAATTCCCCCGATCTCAGTCTGATCGAGTATCTGTGGGATGTGCTGGACAAACAAGTCTGATCCATGGAGGCTCCACCTCGCATCCTACAGGACTTAAAGGATCTGCTGCTAACGTCTTGGGGCCAGATACCACAGCACACCTTCAGAGGTCTTGTGGAGTCCATGAATCGATGGGGCAGAGCTGTTCTGGTGGCAAAAGGGGGACCTACACAATATTTCACTTTGTGTATCTCAGGTCTAAATGACCAGGATCATAATTATGGTCATAATTTGAACATAAAAGCTATAACAAAATGTGATTTTTGCAAACCATACTTCATATTCATTAGAGAAAATTAAACAAACACAAAGTTTTTTATGTTACAGAAAATAATTATAAATATTGTTCAATGTTTTTAATAAAAATTTAAACATGTTATGTTGCATACTGCATGTTATGTTTTTCCTTTGGAAATATTTCTATAAAGCACCCAGGAACCCAACTTCTTTACATCAAGATGCAATACTACATGTTGTTTTATAGACTATAAACAAGACAGCCAGAGCTAGCAGACTCCACTCACCACAGAGGTGTTGAGGCCGGACATGACAGGGTCGTGAACCTCACCACAGCTGTTGCCTTCCTGCTCACAGGCTGGGATGAGTTCAATCACCTTCTCTGGGTCTGTGGCCGTCTTCACATCCGACAAACCCTTGGCCCATGCTGCCGAGCTCACAAGCCACATGAAGGTGAATACACATGTCACACCAAAATCCTGAAAAGAGGAACCTAATATTTATGGCTGCTCTGATCTTCGTGATGTACCTGATGGCAAATCATTTTAATTTAAGATTTATCACTGTAAACCAGTAGACGTAATATAGAGTAATATATAGCTGTAACAGGATTAAGTGAACTCACAATCAGTGGCCCCTTGTTGTTTTCACGGTATTTCTCAAAGGCAAAGACATAGACGCTAAGAGCTGCCATGGAGTACAGGAAGGCAAAAACGCCGATGGTGACGAAGAACTCGGCAGAGGAGGAGTAGTCACCCACAAGGAAGAAACGCTCAGTTCGACTTCCCTTGCAGGATGGAGCATCAAAGTAGACTTGATGGAGCCTGAAAGAAAGGAAAGAAAGATTCATTATAATTTGCCTTATATGGCTAGTGAATCACTGAAATATTTTAATATTAATTTGTATTATTGTTTTTAAAAGGTGTACCATTTGTAAAATGTCAAAAAGAAATATTTAAAGAACTTCTTCAAATGTTTTAAATATTTAAATTTATGCTTTAGTTGGCATTTGCTATACATTGGGGAAGACATGTCAACTACAATAAGGTCAAGAAATACATATAAATTTATACAATATTTAAAAAAACCACTGAGTATGTCATGTACCTGAACGGGTATTCAAAGTCTACATTTATTCTTGGGTTACTCTCTGATCTGTTTTTGCACTCCACACGCATGCGAAAGGAGCCTGAGTAAGTCCCACAGGTGGAAAATGCGAAGATGGCAAACACCTGAGGGCATAAACAAAGAGAGCAGTATGGTGTCTATGAAAGCTTGTCTATAAAGAAATTCAAGAAGAACAAGAGTAGAAAAGGCAACAGTGTGGGCCTATCTATATTCATTAATATTAATTAGTGCAAGCATTTGAAAATTTATTGTATAAAATTAGAACCTTGTTCTGTAAACATCACCATCATATCCTACGCATGTGCACATGTATAACTAGAGTTATCAGGTTTGATCCATCCCACCTATCAATGCAATGCAGTTAAAGGCACTTGCAAATCATTAATTCGAAGTAAAGACTTCTACATATGAGAATATCATTGTATAGATAAGTAAACTGGATTTTCCTTATCTGCCTTAAATCTGAGAGCTTGAGTCACTGAGAGATTACATGCATAGTGGTGTGGGCTGCAGTTGGAGGAGGGTTTGAATGAAGAATGGAGCTATTAAATATCACAGAGATCCATGGCCATCTGTCACACAGTGGAACTGGAGTCTGGCTGGATACAGCCACACATGGTATTATGGGAGATTCAGAGAAGATCACTACAGCAAACAGTGTGAACCAAACCAGCTGACATCAAATTGAACCAGATCAAAACTGAACAAATGCAAGCCAGAACAGACAACATCAAAATACTGACTAAATAAAGTTCAGTAGCACCGATAGTGAACTAGAGAAAAGGAATTTCAAAAGCCAAAAGGTAAGATATGAATTATAACGTCAGGTAAATTTGGTTTAAATAATATAATGAATGTCAGTGGCTCAAATTCACACAGTAAATTGTAACCATCTTAGAATGAAGTGAAGATGATCTCAGACCCATGTATCGAATTGGATTTGTGTCAAAATTGTGTTGTATTAAATGTCATTTTTCAAACAATAAACCAAAGTATGAACTGGGGACTGGACCTCTGGGGCACAGCGATGTTAATGTTATGTGCATTACATGATATACAGAAAGAAAACTTTTTCAATTAGCTTTTCTCATTTGACACTTTAAATATTACAATTAATGACCCAAATCTAATCCTATACTATGCAAGGTTTCTCCCCTTAAATGCAGCACGAAGCCAGTTATGTATCAATTAAGTCTTTCTAATCTGTCCTTCAATAAGCCATTTTTATCAATGTTAATAAATATGCATTCAAACTTACTTCTAGAAAGAAAAACGGCAACACTGACATTTGTATTTAAGTATTTATACAATTATTCCTAAAATTTAGGATGTCATACAAGCACCACCCAATGTCACTACTATGCTAATATGACACTACTCCTCACAGCTGCATGAAACCTTCTGGATGAGACCTTGACATGTCAACATAATTCTGTGGCCTATATAATGGACTCCTACAAGGTGTCAGAAAAATGTATCAGAAAATTATATATGATTAAACAGAAGTGGGTCTAAGTGCTTGTTCGGTATGTATTCATCACACTATGCTTGCATAAGTAAGCACCTAGCAATGAATCATAAGAGATGATAAAAATAAAGAGATGACTAAATTATCTAAAAGAGCTAAAGCAAAGATGCTTTATTCACATTCATGTCTTTGGGTTTAACAAAATTATATGAGTAACCAACATACACTTGGAGAATTATGAAATGATGGAGAAGCACTTACCCACTCCAGGACTTTGATGAAGCCCAGAGGCACTTTCAGCACCCTGAATTGTCCATTAGCAACTAACTGTTAACAGCAAAATAAATACACAGTAAATGTATTAATTTCTTATTCACAAATAAACGTGACGGTTAAAACACATGCTATAGGAAAATAAACATCACCATAAATGACTGCTGGATGTAAACATTACTCTGTCAGGTTCACAGCTCATCTGCTGCACCACTGTGCAGACCAGGTGAAGAGAGTCATCTGACCTCATGTAGCCCTGTCAGTGTATCTGACTGAATGTCTCAGAACAGGTAGGTGGAACTTGAGGACCAGACAGACCACCTTCAGGTCCAGCAGGCTGATGTCTTTTGATCTCACACTTACCCACACACACTCAGTGCCCCTTCAGCACTACTCTGAGGTAGGCGTCCATGGTGACTATCTCTCTCGGATGGGACACCACTCACAAAAAGGCCCCTTTCATGAGAAAAGGCTTATGTCTCCATTGAGCTAGAGCTTTGTTATTTGGGGTCTGGCTACAGGCTGATAACCCGCTTCCAAATGTGTCTCAGTACTAGCAGACCCAAGGGAGCTACAGGGTGGCTAGTATTCTCAATAAATCTAGCTTCATGCCAAATAATTTTGTTGCCTGTTTTGGTGTTCCGGAGCTCTTTACTGAAAGAGCTTTGAACTAGAGGGCCTGCTCTTAGAAGGCAAACCTCGAAAGTATCTGTCACCCGGTGGGAGACTAAGAGCTTAGTGCCATACTGAGCAAGATGGGAGCAGATTTCTCAATATTATGCCTAATATAGCTCAGCAGCAGCCGGGTCCCTGGAGGACTAGTGGTTAGGCCTTGGCACTCTCACTGCCATGGCTCAGGTTCAATTCCCACCCAGGAAACTGACCCCAGCCACTGGGGGTGCACATGACAGTGCACTCCCAGTGCTGGTCTCAAGCCTGGATAAAATTGGGGATGAACCGTTATCCGGCAGAAAAACTGTGCCAAATCAAATATGCTGTAAGTCATCAGTGAGTCAATGTCAATATATTTTTCCTCAATTAATATTTTTACCTATTTTAATTGCTGACCATATTTTTTTTTATATTCAACAAAATAAAAGAAAAAACATGGTCTAATCTACATGCCAACACCCCCAGTACAGACAAATAACTACAAAAATTAACATCTCTGATATAACACTGCCATGGTTAATTTGCCTCAGTTGTAAAGACAGTTACCTTGTAAAAGTAACTGGTGCAGTTCTGATGGTTTCTGGTTGCTGATAATTGCAGTGCAAAGACACATTAACACCCGAACTAGTTACATAGCTAGCTACATAACAGTAGCCTATAGATTAAACTTGCTGATGACATTCTTGCTAATCAGGTAAAGGACTCATAACTATGGACTAAAAAGATGGCAGTGTTAAGTTTGCAAACTTATGTTCAATTTTTTTTTTAATTCAACTATGTTATATACAGTAGGTGTGGTTCCTGTTGCCATTGTCGCAGTGTGTGAGATGAACATAAAAGCGATAATATTACCTGTCCTGTCCATTGCTCTTCCTACACTCATAAACAAAACGTTCACAGAGCGAGCATGGGCAGAGTGATTCCTGCCCCAATGGAAATCTGTTATCACATGCTGCAGTTTCCATTTTTGACTTGTAGGCACAAGGTGCAATAATGGCTCTACTGTGCTCAGTGGGGTGCTGAATACAGTAGAGCTATTATTGCACGAGCTGCAATAATGGCTCTACTGTGCTCAGTGGGGTGCTGAGCATGCTACCCTACGATTGCACATCAAGAAAGGCAACCAAATCAATGGAACATCAGCTTATATCTGTCTAATAGCAACATTTTTATATCATTGGTTACTCAAAAGAGGTAATTAGTATTTAAACTGAATTTAAAAGGTTATGGGGTTGAGAATGAAGACTTTATTAAGATTAACATTTGCTAAATGGCTAATATATGTGGTTGGGCTCTGGATGAATCATCACTGTTGTAGTAACCTTGTTTAACCGAACAGTAAACACATAATGAGAATCGTCCTGAGACAGCCTTGTAAGACAACCAATCACATTTGGCATATTCTGCTCTGCTTCTGGGCTTCTGCAAGTGTAATAACTGGCAAGTAATGGGGCATTCATACTTGCTGTACAAGCAAAGTGTTGATGAGGGAGATCCAGTTTCTCTGAAAAAAGTATCTGATGCTTCAGACTTTATTGTAATTTGAGAATGTTAAATCAAACACTAAAGGTGTGATATAAACATTTTCCTAAAATATAATAACTATGAAAATACTGTAATAGGAACATGTGTACACCTGGTCATTCATCCAATTATCCAATCAGACAGTCAGTGGGCAGCAGCTTAATGTATAAAAGCATGCATATACTGGTCAAGAGATTGAGTTGATGTTTATATCAATCATCATAATTTGGAAAATGTGATCTCAGTTACTTTGACTGTGTTGTAGGTGCCAGATGGGCTGGTCTGACTTTTTCATAAATTGCTGATCTCCTGGGATTTTCACGCACAACAGTCTACAGAGCTTACACAGGATGATTAAGGCAAAAAACTGAAAACATCTAGTGAGCAGCAGTTCTGTGAGCAGACATGCCTTGTTGATGAGCGAGGTCAGAGGAGAATGACCAGACCCTTTCAAGCTGACAGGAAGTCTACAGTAAGTCAAATAACAACTCTTTACAACCATGGTGAGCAGAAAAGCATCTCAGAACGCACAACACGATGAACCTTGTGGTGGATGTGCTTCAACAACAAAAGACCACATCAGGTTCCACTCATCTGAGACTACAGTGGGCACAGGCTCGCCGAAACTGGACAGGGGATGATTTGAAAAATACAAGATGTTTTTCCAATCTGTACACAAAAAGAGCCGAAAGCGCAGACCCACTGCTCTGAATGAGACCAGTTTTAGGGAAACCCTTCCAAAAAAAAGGTTCTCCAAATAGAAAAAAAAGGTTCTCCAAATAGAAAAAGGGTTCTCCAAATAGAAAAAAAGGTTCTCCAAATAGAAACAAAGGTTCTCCAAATATTAACCCTTTTAGGGAGCTAAGAACCCTTACAGACCCTTTGCCAAGATTCCACGATTGCTGAGTGACTTGTACATTTGCACACATCCAGTTTGGACAAATGATCCCAAACATTCCCAAAAACGAAATGATTTTGTGTTTATAAGTGTTTCAATTTTTGAATTTCGTTTTGTCGGTGGTTCAGATGATCATTTATATCTAAGTGAGCCATAAGCATAGGCCCATCACACCGAATAAGACCTGTCTGCAACGCACACTACGCTACTATGTTATTACATAAATGATAATGGAATACTAAACAACAACAACAACAACAACAACCACGGGTTTATTAGCCCCAGCGGTGTGTGACAATCACATATTAAGACGGGGGGGGGGGGGATTAGGGGGTGACGTCAGAAGGCGCGGTTGAACGCGACATCACTCGGAGACTTCCAACATCCGAATCAATAAAACCTTACGATATTACTTATTCACTCTGTATCGTTTCATTACTCTATTTTTAATCTGCATTTTGTAATAAATGGATGTAACAGCACACGCCTCTTCACTGATGATGGATCAAGGTGACTAAGGGAGGATTTTTCATACCAAATCAAACGTCTTATCCAGCTGCCTTTGCAAACCAATGGCCAAAAAAAAAAGAAAAGAAAAGAAAAAAAAAAGCTAAAGACATGGCTTTGAATGGACATGATTGTCTGAGGCACACAAACGGCTCGGCAAAGTCAGCTGCCATTTTCCACAGCAAGCTCTCCAGCTGCAGCTGCATACAAGCCAAGGCCTTCTGCTGCGCTTCCTTTATTATTTACCATCAGACAGAATTCACACATTAAGCACAGATTATTTAATCACATGCCTGAAAAAAAAACATACATATTACTCTATGCTCAGTCTATGATTTATATTGGAATGAAGGACTATAAAAATATAAATCAGTACAACCTCCATGATATGGAACAGAAGATATAAATCTAAATAAACAGCATAACACCTTATATGCTAATTAAATAAAGACTAGAAGCATGACTTTAAAAAAAAAAGCCCTCGGATGTGTAGAGCATCAGCAGGGCATTTCCTCTTCTGCTCATATGCTGCCATCAATTCACGAGCGCATCTTCATAACTGGCCATAATAACTGATTTATCATTCATCATCCTACTCACTATGTCAGTTCTAAAGTCATGTAACACTGAGATAATGTGCATTTCTTTGTGCCCGAAATGTCCTACCTGGTTTACAATGTCCATCTTGGCTGCTTGCTGCTAGATTAGAGAAATAGAAAAGCGGGGGGAGGTGAAGGCGGCAACCGAAACAGCCTACACGGGGGAGGGGGGGCGAGCGCATCACCGGAACAGCCTATTCCGTCATACTACGGTGAAAGCAGGGTTGCCAGATTGGGATCTTTATGTCCCAGATGGGAGCTACTGAGCTGAACATACTTAATGCTCTTTTTTATTATTATTTATTTATTTATTTATTTTTTAATTTCCAAATCTACTCTATCAAAATCAAATTTTATTTGTACCCTTTAATAGTGAAGTCCAATGATGACCTGCTGTCTGTTAAAAAAAATCTGATTTACAGGAAAGATGGAAAAATCTTATGGAAAAATTGAGAAGTTTTACATGATCATAAATGTTTCACGTGTGACTGTGAGCTTTGCATCTCAACATGTTATGCCTTGAAACTTGAACATACATGCGAAACATATGTAACTTCATGTGAATGATGTGATAAATAAAGCCACATGCTGTTCATGTCCTGAAAAAAATTAATCATGTGGAAAAAATACTTCTTAAATAAATCATACAAAAGATCACACATAAGATATGTGTGAAATATGTATATATATATACATATAGTTCATAAATATTTTGCTTCTGTGGTGTAGACATTCGAACTGCAGTGGCCTCTGATAGTTTCCTGCTCTTCACTACACATAGCATGCTCTACTGCTGATTGAAAAAGACTGTCTAGTATTTCACTCTTATTTCTACATTTTTGCTAACAATTATCACTTTTTGTAAGCCCTGATTTACAGTTTAAAATATTATATTTCTTATTTTATATTTGGTTATTAGCTACCTGCATGTATTCTGCATGGCGTGGGGCTCCGTATAATTTATAATTATAATGGGGGAAGTCTTTCTGGGAGAGATACTATCCTCAGGTTTTTGTTTGTTCATTTTTTTTAATCTCTGAGAGGTAATCAATTTGGGTTATTGAACAATAGCAAATAAATAACAGTATGAGGGAATAAAATTGAGGGTTGTAAAGGTAACCAAATCAGAACACAGGGTTTAGCTATAGGCTACCTTCCTTTAGGAAGTATTAGTGCCCAGTAGTTATAATAAAAAAGTTTTTTCTTCACAAAACAGTTTGTTGGGGTGTGCCTTTTCTTTTAATTCTGCTCCAACACAGGTCTCTTGTTCCCTGTTCAGAATACTGTGGTTTAAAACAGTAGACGAAATCTGGCAACCCTACGGGGAAGGCGTGTGTAGTGCGCAAAGCACAGAGCGATGACTCGACCTGCGTCTGGAGAGATGATGAGCATTTTCACAGGCCTTGAATTAAGCTCAGAGGTCCACTAGTTTTATAGATATGTAGCTGTGATATGTATGTGTGAAGATCATTTATATGGATACCTAGATTTGAGATTGAAGCAGATTAAACGCTTTAAAGAAAAAAAATTTACAGAAACTCTCACAGGCCTCCACAGGACACTAAATCCTAAATTAATATAGTACCATTAATATCCTCAGGAGTGTTATCATTTTCATGTAATCTTTTTTAACCACTCTTTTACAGCTCTGGGCTTATCTGATTGTTGATGGTATTAAA